TGATGAGATTAAAGCAAGAAGATGAGAGAAAGCGGACAAAATTAACCAATAGAAGGTAGGTGGTATTTCATTTGCATCCGCCGTATAGTCCTGACCTTACGTCTTCAGATTTCCACCTATTTAGGTCTCTTCAGAATTGTTTACGCAGTGCCAGGTTAACATCACGCAAAGATTGTCAAAACAACTTGTCACGCAAAGATTGTCAAAACAAATTTCTATAGCAATGGAATCCACTTTGTCCCCGGCATTGTCAGATGGGACTTAATTTAAAAAACTATAGTTGTGCCATATTTGAATGTTACTTAAAGGTGTTATTAAACTAATAACACCTTTATCTTTTAGTAGCTCTTAACTTGTTTAACTTTTTATTTTCCATCATTTAACATAACGACGCCATTTACACCGCCGCCACTGAATTTTTAGCTCCACGCCGCCGCCGAAGATTTCGGCATCTGCGCACATTCCTAGTAAATACTCGCCATGCCCCGCTCCGCCCCACCACCACCCCTTCAGTTCAGCTAAATAAAAAAGATTGATCGCCCATCCCATTATTGGCTTTTGCGAACGTCGCTTAATCTTCGCAATCGCAGATCAAGCGCTAGAGCGTTTGATAGTTAGTACTAATGGTACACATAGAAGAACAGAAGAGAGCAAACCCGGCCACTTCCGGCAGTGCCTGTCCCACCCCATTCAGTCAAATAAAAGAAGTTGATCACCCGTCCCATTACTGGCCTTTAGGAACTTCGTTTAATCTTTGTAAATGCCTGTTTCACTCCACCCAGCTCAGCAAAATAAAAAAAAAAGATCACCCATCCGACTACCGGCCCTTGAAAAAGTCGCTTAATCTTAACAATCGCAGATCAAACGTGCAAACTAATTGTACTTATGAACGCTAAATCGTAAACCGACACACTTCATAATTAAAAATAGTCAAATTAAAAATTTAAAAGACCCCCGACACAATATAATAAAAGAAGTAAAAAGCTTAAAAACTTCTATTGTATTTTTATCAATCTTGCGTTAATAATATATAATTATTTTTCATATAAAACCCACCATTTACTCAATAATTATAAAAGTAATAAAACTGGCTATCAGAGCAGCGTATACAAAAATGAATCTTCGAGAATTTTCATTCTTTAACAATACACGAAAAATCATATATTAGCAACGGCCGGTCTAGTCCGCGCTGGCAACGTCGCAACAATATGCGACAGACAACAAAAATGTAACGTGCACAAACAAGACAGACGTTCCATTAATGAAGCGGGCGATATTTTTACGTTAGTTTAAACGCAAGCGATATTGCCTTAAATTGGTGAAAGAGCGGCCATGTTCGCCATTGTACTTGCAGTTCAATATTAGCGCAAAGTTCAAAGTGAAATAGTCTGACATGCTCTTGTCTGTAATGAAGAATGTTAACAATTTTTTTTTATTAGCACTCCATATTTTCTGTCAAAAATAAAAAATACTAGTGAAAGAATTACTTCGATACGACAATTACTTTCCGATTTAGAAGTAAAACAAGTTGTAACCGCACGACGCGGGCTGCCGGTGACGATGTGACGTCATTGCACAACACGCTCAGTCTGGCTCACTTAGTCCGCTCGCAGTCGCGCGCCCGTGCCGTCGAAATTTTACCTAAATACTTTTAAAAATGTCCAATCCAAATTCTAGGAAATCATGTGTTGTGCCTAAATGTAAAAATACAACTACTAATTCGCCGGGAAAGTTGTTTTTTATAGACATCTTTATGATAAATAGACATCTTTTCAACCTCTTTTTTTCACATACAAAATGTGAAAGAGAACACTGTATTTGAAGCTCTTTAAGTTTTAATACTACTTTGTCAAAAAAAAATTTCATTCTGACCGGCTAAATGAAGTGTTATACCACTTGTGCCAAAATGTTTAGTTTTAATCGTTTTCATTGTGGCACCAACATCTGAGAGCTTAGATTTTTTCAATTTCGACGATGTAGCCACATTAAAAATGCTACAGTATGTTTACAGCCACCTCTGCTGGCGGCACAATCTTCGCAGTTTACGTTTAATACTTCTTGATCCTTTTCATTGCATTCTAAACTGCAATGATAAGGTGTGGTACGTACGCGGTGTTCTGGCGTGATTCTACATTTAACCGTACATACTTAAATCACCTACTCTTTTAACTAGAACATAATCAATAACATCATTGTCATAGCTGTTTCTTGCCGATCTGAAATAAGTTTCAAATAAAAATAAATAGCCTTAAGTATTTTGTTAGTTAAAAAAATACTAATAAATAAAAAAGGTTTAGAACATCTGTTCAAACTTCTATATTTGCAACAAAAAAATAATTTGATAAAATGGCCTTACGTATTTTGTTAGTAAAAAAAAAATACAAATAAAAAAAGGTTTAGAACATCTGTAACGTTTAACCCACTACATCTACATCCTAGGGACCTATCCTACTTCCTACTTATATTATAAATGCGAAAGTTTGTGTGTGTGTTTGTTTGTTATCTTTCACGCAAAAACTACTGAACAGATCTGGACGAAGTCTGTAATTTGTCTTTAACGTAAAAATTTAATGGTAGGTAGGTACTTCTAATATTTGAATTTCATTCTTCCATTACGATATTAGTTGCAAATTTTGTTTTGATAAAACAATTTAGAACAGATAAACTATTAAGCATCAATAGTAGCAAGGAAAGTTTACTTACCTATGCATTTTTATTCCTCGCATTTCGGCGGCAACGAAATTATTATTTGTTAATAAATAATGTGCAATTTTTAATCCATTTATTTTAGGTAGATTATCCGATTGCCCTTTTTCGAATCCTTCGTCTATTTTATTAATCGAATAATATTTAATATTATTAGACTATAAACTTAATACATGGGTGAAAACACAACAAAATACTGCGCAAGCTATTATATCTACTATAACCGCTGGCGACTTGATACTAAGCGGGGCGCGGTGCGTTGTGACATGACGTCACAAGCGGTCACATGGCTGTTAGCGGGATTCGATATTTTTCGAAACTTTGAATGCATATAAAATCAAAATTACTAGGTATTTTTGACTGCAACAAAAACTAGTGTATTTGTATACATAAGGGCTTTATTGAGACAAAATTTCAAGCGATTTGGCATACCTAGTAACATTCTTCATTATGTAGGGTCATAATGTCAATATGAAGATATAAATAAATAAATATTACACAAGTTTCATTTGAGCATGTTTAAACGTTAAGCTGAAGCTAAAATGCTGCAATACAAACGAATGCATCGGCAGTGGAACCTCTGTCTGGCAAGTCAGATGGAATAGCTACTCAAGAGATTGTGGATGAAAAATTCCGAAGTAAGGGAGCAAGTTGTGCTATGATTACAGATGCTGCTCAGGATGAATCTGTTATTGATGTACAACAAATACATGTACTAGATGATGTTGATACTGTTGTCCCGAATATAGCGGATCCAGCTACTTGTTCACTTATTCGAAATAGCAAAGTAATTGATCATATAATAAGTAGTGGCCCACTGCAAACTCACTGTCACAAAGTTACAACAATTACACAAATTTATAGATAACAATTATGGGACACCCTGTTAGGGTAAAAATGAATCTTTACCGTACGATGTGATCCGTCAAAAATGAATAAATTACTTATACACCCCTATTTATATGTCTACTTTTTAAATACAACTAATGTCACTCTATAGTTGGAACAAGAGCATCGTAACGTAGCGTTAAACGTTTGATTTGAGTTAAATAATTGTTTTAAGAGCGTCCACTTATGTCAAGCAAAAAGATAATTGTTGATTGTGTTCTTCTTCGTAAAAAAATAAAAGAGATAGATCTAGGGAATCCCCGATTATAGAAAAACACATTGTTTCTGTATGGTCGGAAAGTCGGGGATTCCCGAGAAATAAAACCGATTGAACACTACGTTCCATTCTAATGCTGCCAACTTAACAATCTAAGTAATAAAATTACAAGTATCTAAGTAGGCCGGGTCGGGGAAAAAAGACAAGTAACTGATTTGTAGTATGTAGTAGTAACTGATTGTAATTGAATTGCAGTTAGAGGGCGCCGAAGAAATTTCGCCCAGGGCGCTAGTAGTGCTAAAACCGGCATTGTGTTTAAAGATCGTGTTTAAGTCATCCATTCCATTCACTAGGTATTCATATAAAACTGACGAATTCAGATTATATAGAAAAAATTATTACAATGTCACAAGATAAAAAATGTTGATGGTCATTCATTAATAAAAAAAGTTATACTTTACGTAAATATAACTTTTTAAAAAAAAAAAAGTTGTCTAGCTGAGTGAAAGATTAGAATAAAAATATCCCAAATTTCATAATAATAATCTTCCAAATTAAATGTTGGCATACAAAAATTTGCTAATCGTTACCTAGCCCAACCTACCTACCAAAATGAAACAGGCGAAACGTTGCTTGGCAAATGAAAATAAGCCAAAAACAATTTTCGGCGAAAAGGCACGTTGTTTAATATTTAGTTTATTTTAAGTGATATCATTTATGTCTTTAGTCTAGATTGACGTGAAGAAGAGATGAATGGGATCACCATTATAAATAAAAACGACAGTAATAATGAAAAAGTACTCTGCCCAAAATGTACTGGACAATAAGTTTAACGCTTAATCAATGTGATTATTTGAATTATTATTATCAAATTGCTCTTTCATATTGGACATTTTTCACAATGACCTAGTATTATGTTTAATTCCAAATTACTTGGTTCATAACATACCTATACAGTATAACTTTCGTTCCTTTAACTAAAACTAATGAAAAAACTCTAATTTATGCTTCAATAAAATTATACGTCTTAGCCATACTTGTTTACAAAATTGCACCAAAAATGAACCAATGACGGTACTAATTTCGGATGTTGAAGTTTATTAAATTGTTACATTTTAATCGATTATGTGTAACTTTTGAAGAGTGACTACTGGTAACACTGCACTGCTGTCTGTTCTGTGCGTGTGTCAGTCAGTTTTATTGAAGATTTGTTAAATTAATAAATCGCCGAAAAATGGCGAAAAGGCTTTCACAAAGTTCTATAAATTGGTCTGCACTGGCCGAAAGAGTACCACCAGAACAGAAGGGTCTATTAGCGGCATTCAAAGTCCGTTCCGATGGATATCTGCGAAGGTTAGTTTCAGGTCTGTCACACGATTACATAATTTATTTTTGGATTCACTATATTTATATGTATTAATATTTTCCAGAGTATTAGCGAACCCTCCTGAACCACCAAAGATCAACTGGTCTTTGTACAAACAAAGCGTTCCAATCCCTGGCATGGTGGACAATTTTCAGAAACAATATGAGGCCCTGAAAATACCTTATCCTGTAGATACGCAAACTTCTTTGGTGGAAGCTCAATGGGCTGAAGTTAAGAAAGCCATCGATGCCTTCGTGGCTGAATCGAACGCAAACATCGCCAAGTATGTAAACATTTTAACCTGAAAAGTTGAACTTTAGTGCAAGGGCCATCCATACAAAAAATACAATAATATTCCGTATCGGTTTTTGAAATAATACGAGAAACTTAAAATCATTGTTCAGATTTTTTTATGATGAGGATATTGGTATATAATTTATAGGTGTCTTTTTACAATGTGGAACATAATTGATGCACATCCTGAAAATAGTTTGTTTAAAATCAGATACTGATTCGTTTTCAATAACTTCTAATATAGGTATTTTTTTTTTGCTAAATTTAATTGGAATCAAGTAAATTATGGTCACCAGTTACCGTTACAGCCATCACAAACAAAAAATAAACTTAAGTGAATGTAATAAAGCTTTTTAAAATGCACTATATTCTTAGCTTGTAGTTAAAATTCAACATAGGAAAAATTAATAAAATAATCAACAAAGAAATATTAGCTTTCTTTTAATGTACCTTTGAGTCTAAAATGCCCTTAAAATCTATAATGCAAAAGTTCATAAACCAAAGAGTAAAGTAATTTATAAACAAAGAGAAAAATAATATCCCACAAATTAACATGACAGTGGCAGTGTATGATTATTTTATTGCAATTTAAGGTCATCAAATTCCCAATCTCACATGTGATGTATCTTCATTATACTAATGTACAACAAATACATCAAAATGCTTAAGGGTTAGGGTTGCTATGTATATTATACAATACACTCATATAGAAAGTAGTTTTCTATAGGTGAATGAATTTTTAAATTTGATAGTTTGAGTCTATTCATTTTAAAAAACAAACAATTTCTTTCCCCTTTCAGATTAGACAATTATCTGCAATAGAAATCTAATAACCGTTGTATCTTTTCTGTACAGGTTTGAGAAAGAAATTAGTGCCACTAAAGCCCTGCTGCCTTATGATCAGATGACTATGGAGGACTACCGTGATGCGTATCCTGAGCTTGCTCTGGACCCTATCAATAAGCCCACATTCTGGCCTCATGATGAGGAAGAACAAATTGGCTATGTCCACCCTGAAGGACACGCTTCAGCACACTAAATTTACCAACGTGTTTGGCTGTAAAGTAATTACTTGCAACTGATCGGGTGAACTGTGTCAAGGATGAAGTACCATAAAACTATTGTTATATTATGTAGGAATAAAACTTAATCATACATATTATATTATTATTTTCTGAATACCACTCTTATGTAATCATCTGAGAAAATAAACAGCTATTCTCAGTAAAATTTCACTTTTTGGGCACTATTAACCAACAAGAGATTCCAAGATTATTAGAATTTTGGCTAAAATGTGCACATCATAAAAAACATACATAATTATATTAGTATTTACAAACAATCTCAACAGTACTTCATATTTAAATTTACCATAAACCATTTGTCATATTGGGATCTGTTGATGTTCATGTTGTAATCTTTTATTAATGGGAGGCACACTAGTATCTGCGAATATGCCATCGTGCGTCAAAAGAGGTGGGCCAAAGCGTAGATAAGTTTAATTAAGGTGAAAAAGAAATTTTTTTTACTTCATCATCCAGGTAATTTAAAAAAATCTCGAAATTTGGATATATGCCTTTGTATAAATCCCTTTGCATAGGTAGTCAGTGTATAAGGCAAAAATATTTATAAAAGTTCATAAAACAAAAGTAAATTTTTCGTATTTTCAAAAAATGTATCTTAAAAACTAACTCGGCACCTTGACACTGGAAAATTAAACCTTTTGCATCTGTGTATAAAAAAAAATATCAAAGCAAACTGCATTGTCGCCGATACTAAAGATGTGCCTACTAATGGGTTATCTGCGCGTTTCGTGCAATTCTGCTAATGTCGAGTGAATAAATTAATTTATATTATGAATATGATGCATGCACAATGAAAATTAAATGAATGAAAGTTAAGTATATTATATAGTATAGTAGGAAGTGGTGTGCGGAATCGATTACCATTAATCGATTTTTTAAATAATCGGTAGTGACTGTTCGAATCGAAAGTAATCGATTATTGTTTTCATATCGAAAATAAACAGTCCGTTATTTCTTAGAACGTTAGCAATGAGGAAGTATTTAAAAAAACATTAGTTCCCGAAATCAAACTAGATGTCGCTACGGTACGTTCTTGATTTCTCCATTACAACCTTTCCAGTTTTTTTTATTTTTCAAGTTTAAAAGTAAATTAGTTTTCAAAACACAATAAACAACTCATATTCTATTTGTACTTTTTCATATTTGATATCTATGTTTTTAAAACACAAGAAAGTGTTTTAAAACAAAATAATTGAAGTAATCGCTCATTTGTAGTATTAACTATTCATTTACCTTCTCTTCTTGATAAAAATCCTTGATTCTCAATATTTTCTTTTTATATCAACTCAACATGACTCACTTGTTTTCAAGGCGATCACAAAACTAAAAAGACGTTAGCATTTTCTTCAGAGGGGAACGATACCTATCGCCATCTGTGTAATACAGCTTGAACAAATTAGTCATGCTGTTGTATCAACCGAAATGTCATGAATGCCGCTATATAAAAATGGATACAACGTTACCCTGCTGACGAACCTTTCTTCAAGCCCTTCAAAATAACTATCCACGGCAGACATCACCTCGCTATTATTTTCAAATCTTTGTCCACCTAAAAAATTTTTGAGTTTCGGGAATAGATGAAAGTCAGATGGTGCCAGATCAGGAGAATAACCTGGGTGTGGTAGCAAATCATAATTTAATTCTTTGAATTTCGCCATCGCAGTGATGCACGTGTGAACGCGCGCATTATCCTGATGAAAAATTTTTTTTTTTAGCCAGGCCGGGTTTTTTCACGAATACACACTTGTAATTTATCCAGTAGATCAGCATAATATTCGCCATTTATGTTTTGTCCTTTTGGAAGGTAATCAATCATAAATATACCCTTCCAATCCCAAAATACTGACGCCATGACTTTCCCCGCTGATTTCACGGCTTTTGCTTTCTTTGGAGCCGGGGATCCTTTTTCCGTCCATTGTTTAGACTGAATTTTTGATTCAGGTATTTAGTGGTGAACCCAACTCTCGTCTGTAGTAACAAACCGTCGCAGAAAATCAGTTGTATTGCTCTTAAAGCGGTCCAAACATTCTTGTGAAATTTGCATACGAACGCGTTTTTGGTCAACTGAAAGCAACGCGGCATCCACCTTGCGGATAATTTTTTCATACATAATTCTTGAGTCAAAATGTAATGCGCCCATTCTTTAGAGATGCCTACAGTATCAGCTATCTCGGAAAGTTTCAATCTTCGGTCAGCTAAAACTGCATCATGAATTTTGATCACAATTTCTGGAGTAGTGGCACTTTTGCACGTCCTGGAAGATATTCATCTTGGATGCAGGTACGGCCACGTTTAAATTCAGCCACCCAATTTTTTATGGTCGCATATGAAGGAGCATTTTCTCCCAAAACATCCTTCATCTCCGAAAAACCTCTCCACCTTTTAATCCTTTTAAATGCAAAAACTTTATCACAGCTCGTAGCTCAATTTTATCCATTTTGCAGAATAAACAAGAGAATGCTTTTTGAAATGTCAATACTTAAAAGAAAAACTATACGATCGATTTGAAAGAACAATGGTCAAAATGGACTACGAAAAAAAAGTTCTTGTACCAAGATGGAACTATCACCAAAATGTAGTATAAGTTGAATGTAATTATTATGTACCAACAATTTATTTTTAAAAGCTGGGAAAAGAAAGATAATCCTCTTTAAAATATGTCTTTATTTTTTTAGAACGCAGTTTAAATTATGTTATTTTTGAACGCATCTTATTAATAATGTCATTCCTAGAGAAGTCCCTCTCTTTTCAAAGAACAAGATTGATTTTATTTCTGACTAATCGAATTTGATACGAATCTTATATTATTTAAGAACCATATAAATCCGTGAAAATTATAAAACTTAGATTAGATTACTAATATAATTAGATGTTACTTAGAGGAAAATAATTTATTTATAATTAAATTAAAAACAAATGATTATTCATAAGAATCGATATTACAATATGCAGTCGATTGCGACCTCTCTTTTTAGACAAGTATGTGTAGACGGTTTCTACGCAGACCGTTTCGTAACTTTGGCGGTGATTTTGTATTATCTTCTGTATTATGATGAGTTCTGTATTCTGTATTATGGGAGCATACTAGGATCCATGGGAAGTATAGAATTGAGGTCTGGAGAGAAATACCGGATTTTCTGGATTTATTAGAATTAGACTTAAATATAAATAAAGTCGTATCGGTAGAATTAAGTCGAGACATTGGGAGGAAACAATATTATGTGTACTAATTGGTCGATGTACACTGGGATGCTGTGCTCATATGATGATCATAGTTTGGTATCTTGGATGGGCCAGACACGAACAGAATATAGCTGCTCCTGCAGGATTCCGTATTCATTAGAGTTGTAATAAAGAAAAGAAAAATCAACATGTTGTTTTGCTATATCCTTTTGGAATTAGTATTTTCACTACTACTTTATATAAGTTATAGTGTAAGATAGAAAAGTAGAGTTATTGAGAGCAATCTTAAAAATTCTATTATCTTTTTTGAAGTTCATTGGTTCACAAAAAATGATTTTATTTCTTACAGTCAATAAAAATAATTTATCAGATATGGAGCAAGTTTGAAGTATTATGTGAAAGTATGCACTTCTAGGATTACGATTAGGCATTATCTGACGTGTGCTTTACATATTTCAACTGTAATACCTCTAACTCAAAATGCTACAGTTTAAATAATACGACATAACCTCAAAAACATATTACACAATTACTCGATACTCCCAGCTTTTAAAAATATATTTAATGTCTTTCTTTGTTCTAGTTGCATAGGCAAACAAAATAACATATGTTTCATCAAGTTACGTTTTATTCAATTTTACTAGTCCAAGCATGTTAGGCAGATGGCCATTGTTCTTTGGAACACTGGCAGCTAATGAACCAATGAGTAAAATACTAAGGAGATTTTTATATCGTTATTATACAAAAAATGGGTTGGGCTAGCTATTTATCATCCCGCCTACGTATGATATATTTCTTCTTTAGTTATTAGTATTTTAAAAAAGCATGATATTTTTTAATAAGTCGGTTGATAAAAAACATTGCTACTAGTCGGTACTAGTCGATTCAATGTTAAATATTTAGTAGGATTAAATATTTATTTACATATATTTTTATTGGTTTGTTTATAATAATAATTATTAGGTACTTTTAACGTATCGTTACTCGATTTTGTATCAAGTAAACAGATAAGATCGGCAACATCGCTTAAATGAAACTAGTAATATTGACATACAATATAATGCAAATAAATGTGTACAAAATAAAAAAATACAATTGGTACAATAAGTGCTGTTGGAACTTACCCCAAACGGATTCCGATGATTTAAAAATATTGTTAGTGATGGTTTAAAAACAAAAATCTAATTCTCTATTACAATATTTGGAATATAAAAACAGATTCTTTCGCTACACATACGCACACTCATTATTAAACTAATATATAAATGCATAACAAACGACGACATTAAGGTAGTTGAGAACAGAGTTATTCTCTTGGGAAGAACCCATACACGAGTATGATGCATGACATGATCCCAGCCATCGCTTTGCCCGAACATATTTTAGGGGCACACTTTTAAAAGTGAATTACATACCATATATGTATATTAATGATTAATTCTTATTTCTTGTTAGCTATATTACCTATGCTTCTGCACGTTTAATTTGCAAGTAAGTAATTTTTTTGTTAAGTTTACAATTTTTTTAATAACTTGCAGTTGATTAAAACTTATCTTAAATACCTGTAAATTTGTGTCTTACTGTGCGCTTAGTTCTTCTTCTTTCACGAAACATTTTTTATCTAGAGCATTTATTATGACCTCCATTTTGTATACTTTTTTCTTTAATCGGTGATTTTGTACTTGTAAGCTTTTAATCTTTTTTCTTTGGCGTTCTATGACAATATCTTTGAAAGATATTATTGTTTTCAATTTCCTTATTCTGGGTGTTAATGTATTTGAATTATTACGAGTAGGTGGACTGAACTAAAAAGTAATTAAAATACATTATTATTTTTCGTAAATAATTTAAAATAAATACTTGAAACTAAGGGCCAGTTTCACCGGTTACTGATAAAGTTTCAGATAGTTATCTGATAGTTAACGCTATCTACTGGATAAAGGTTGCTGTTAACTTT